GCCTTACTGCCATCTGGATCACCAGCTGAACACAGAAACCAGAAAGGAATGGGAAACACTGGTGTTGAAATTCTAATATGCTCAATGCAGGCCAGACGTAAAAAATGCAGATCAGGGAATACATTACCCCCACACACACCTAAAAAAATATGACTGGCCCGATTGTAGAAACAGGTCATCAACCCCTGCAAAAATCTGTGTGTTCTTTTAGTTTTGTTTCTTTTGTTGTTTGTTGTTGTTTGGTTTTGCATCTAATAGTTCCATCATCACTCAGAAAACATTATTTAAGTCATAACCAAGTTATATATATCACATATTTATGAAAAATAAAAGTGGCTGTTAGGTGAGGGGTGATTATTCATTCATTCTTTCAGCAAAATATTTTAGGAGAATTTAGAGCAGAGGAGGTAGACTAAGAGAGACTGGAAATTTACTGATGCAAGTGCAATGCCTCTTAGGGCTACTGTTTCTCCTGCACCTCTATTTTGGATTATCCTAAATATTGGCAACAGCTCCACAGCTGCTTCCTTTTGATAAAAGGTTGAAGCTTATTTAGCCAATTAAAAGCCATGCAAATGTTTCACACATAACTTCCAGGAATTTGTTTTGCATGATGAGCTTTTATTACAATAAGAAGTATTTATCAAATTATTTGGTGAAGTATTTCCTTAATGTAAACAAGAGCAAGGCTCCAGAAATGTCTAACATCATAAAATGTGAAAGCAGTGAAGTCTTAAAAATGTGATCTCCTTTCCCTGGCATCATCAGGTGCACAAGCACACCCCCTACCTACAATGCCTTCTGAAGTCAGTAAGAGAATTAGGGCCACATTGTGCATTTTACACTCAAAATAGTTTAACTAGCACACATCTTCTGGTCTCCTGTAGTGCTCATCACCTCATTTCTTAGGTACTTGACAAATAAATTCACAAAGCAACATTTAATAATAACCATCTTTCTAAACCAACTATAGAAGAAAGAAAAAAAAAGAAAAAAGAAAAGGGAAAAAAAAAAAAGGTCTTTTATCCAATACTCCGGAGTAGGCTTCACTAACGTAATGTTGAAACAGCCTGGACTAAAGAAACATTCAATGTTACTCAATTATCTGGCACTCCTTTGATTTTTCTTTGGAATATTCATCAAATAATGGCTACTCAAATCCATTTTGAACAGTAATTTCTTCCAGCACAAAAGCACATCCCACTGTTGGTATACACCCACCTTATGTTTCTTTTTAGCAAGGAGACAGAAGTGGCTGAGTCCCTCCGTAGTTAACAGCACCCTAGAGAGTACAGTTATGGACTAGCCATACATAAACTCAAGCTCTGCACTTAGACCCCCTACATCTAACGTGGCTGTTGGTCACCACTTCTCCACCTCCAGTCTTTGCGGGCACCTCAGATTAAGAAGACCAATAAAAATAAGAAGAGGCAGATGTTCCATTTCTCAGACATGAGAACTCTTAGCACGTATTTGTTTTAATCCATATGTTTCTGTCGTTATGTTTTTACAGAAAATTTCTAAACTTCAGGCATCTGGATTTAACAGTCTGTCCTCCCCCTAGTTCCCCTGCCCAGCCTCTATTTAAACACAAAAGCTGGTTGCAGCAGCCATCAGAAAAAAAGCTCTGGAACAAAGGGCAGATGCAAAAACATTAACATAAGTAAACAATAACAAGCTAAATGTAATGACATACAAGTCTTGTAAGCCATATTCTTTACTGTTATAAAACTGTTCACTCTAAAGCAATAAAACTACCTTGCAATTTGATGGTACTTTGAGTATAAAACTTAAAAAATGAAGGCTAAAAGATACTAGGAGAGGACATCCAGTTTATCCCAATGCCTGAACTGATATATTATGTGTTGCATAATAAATAATTGGTAATTAAGAGTAAAATACAGGTAAACATAATCAGAAATAAAGTTCTATAAATGATGCATTTTCAAAATCACAACTAAGTATTAATGCAACTTCATGCAATAATAATAAATAATAATAATAATAATAATAATAATAACCCTACCTCGTATAATAATAATAACCCTACCTCATAACCTACCACTAAAACAGAATGTAAGTCTTTTTAACATAATAACAATTTAAAAAGAAGGCCATTTTCAGAATACTGTATTCCTAATAGTGAAAAAAAAAAAAAAAAAGAACAACTGAAGAGGGAGGTAGTACAAAAGTCTGACTTCAGCAAACATACCATGAAGAAAAATTATAGCCTAAACATTTTGAGAAGTACACAATTTGGGTGAGTTTACCACCTTGCCTGGTCCTACAGTACAGAACCACAGAAATAGGACAGATTTACTTCTGTTTATAATACACCAAACAATAAACCAACTCTTTCTACATGTTTTGATGAAACATCTGCAAATGCATTTGAACACCTACAAAAAGCTACGAAAAAACATGATTAGTAATTTATAGTATCATCAATTGCCTCACTTCCACATTAAAAGGTACACATTCCAGAGGCATCAAGAAGCCCTGTACAGGATTAGTCCATACTACAAAAGGCAGACAACTGGGGGTACTCATATGGCAAACTCCAGCGGACCATAAATGCCATACAAAGTGTATGTAATACATAATGATAATGTTGCAAACAAGCCAATAACATGTAACCCTCACTGGTCATGATATCACAGGTATCACCTTTGTATAATATATAGAGAAATTGTTACTCAGAAACTCGTGTGATTACAAACAGGAATTAAGTCCCCTTTTGATAGAAATAGTTCTATTTGCTCTCAAAACAGATGCTCTTGGCAATCCTACTACCCTTTAACACATACACAGGACTTCATAGAGTCACAGCACAGTTGTTCTACAACTTCCTTTTTACATTTCACTTCTGCTTGGGAAAAGAAGTTCCAGACAAGCCGTTTCCCCATCAAGCAGAGGTAAACCCCGTTCTCTCTCACAGATGCAGTCAACCAGAATAGACACGTTTGCTTAGATAAAACATGCCACAGTAAATGATGACACATGACCTCCACCTACAGAGATCTTGTTTGCTCACTAGAGGAAAGCTGGGAGTGATTATGTGCAGGGAATTCCAGGTCCTGAAATATGTGCTTCTGCAGCAACAGAAGCCAGCTTGCTCTATCAGACTTAAAAACGTTTAAAGAACTACTCTATAAACAATGTTTGCTTCCACTTTAATATATATATATATATTTATATAAAAGCAGTGCAGACAGCTGCACTTTAAAAAATTATATTAAAAGAAAAAAAAAAAAGAGAGAAGAAATCTGGAGTTGTGGGTGGGAATAAGTCTAACAGCTGTGATTAGTGAGCCGCGTGTTTATGTATCTGCCAACATCATATGAAGCACTGGGTGAATTTCAGCCTGCCTTGGATGGCAAAAGTCTGTTGTATAAAACTTGTTGACAATGTTGTTAAAATAGAAAACTAATATTTGATAGCAAAAGACACAGCCTCTTATAAATGTCAAATCCAGGATTATAAAGCAGCACAGAGATTCTGGACTTGAATTTCGGTGCATAATCCAACCATCTGTCGACCAGTTGTGTAGCAAAATCAAGATAACGTGCACATCTCCAAAAGGACAGCCAAATTGTTTTTCTCCTGCTACAGCATTTCGCTGCTTACAAACATCCCCGCAGTAATCGCACCCCGCCTGCAGATTAACCTAGGGGAGACGACACTCGCCACGGGCAAAGGGAAAGATTGCAAAGGCAATCTTGCCAGATCGACAAGACAAACAGGGCTCCCGGTGCAGCCTGCAGAGGCAGCGGCAGAGGCAGACCCGCCGCACCGCTGCCGCCGGGCTGGGCAGGGACCCCGAGCAGCTCAGGGCGCCGGGTGCGGGGGTCCTTAGCGGGCCCCCCCCAGATCCTCAGCAGCCGGCGGAGCGGCGCCGGGCCGCAGCCTGGGGGTGCACACAGGCTTACATCGGGCGGCCAAAAGTTAAACGCGCTGGGGCGGGAGGAGACCCGCTCCAGCTGCCTCTCCATCCGCCGAAAAGCTGCAGACCCCCCATTCCTCCCCAGGCACATTCCTCCCCAGGCACTCTCTTCGCTCCGCGGGGACCCCGCAGGGCACCCCCGACCTCCCGAATGAAAACTCCGGAGGGTGGGAAGTCCCCGGGAAGGGCCGCCCGGCAGCTGCGGGGGGAACGCGGGGGCTTCAGCCGCGCCCGCCCCGTCCCAGCGCCGGGCGCCGCAGCGGGGTACGGGCACCCCCAGGGCACGGACACGCCGGGGAACAGACACCCCCTGGGGCACCGCCACCCACCCAGGCACAGACACCCCTCAGGGCACGGCCGGGGGCCACGCCGGCCCGGCCCGGCCCGGCCACTAGTTGCTGGGACCGCCGCGAAGAAGTGGTGAAAGGAGCCAGGGGCAACGGCGGCGGAGCCCCGGGGGGACGGGGCAGACCGTCGGTCCGTCCGCTGTGCTCCCCGCTGCCGGCGCTTCTCACCTCCTTAAGTTCCTTGGCCACGTCTTTCAGGTCCCCCAGCACTAATTCCAAATCCTCCACGATGATCTTGATCTGCTCCTTCACCTTGGCTTTGGAGGCAGCCGGCGGCCCCTCGGACGGCGACGAGGACGAGGATGCGGTCCCCTTGGACTGGGCGGACATCCTTCGGGGCAGCCCGGCGCGGACACGGGGGGGGCACGCAGGTCAGGCGAGCAAGGCGGCCGCCGGCCGCCCGGCGCCGTCCCTCCGGCTCCCGGAGCTGTCGCAGCCGCTGCCACCACCGCCGCCGCCGCCACCACCGCCGCCGCCGCCGCCTGCCCGCCCGCGCATCCCGCGCCGGGGGCGCCGCGCCGCGCCGCGCTCCGCCGGGCGGCCGCGCTGTGCAGCTGCCATCGGCTCCCGGGAGCGGCGCGGGGGCCCGGCTGCAGCCCGCCGTGCGCCGCGCCTGCGCCTCGCCCCGCCCGCCCCCGGCTCGGCTCCGCTCCGGCCCCCGGTGTCCCCGGCCCCCGGCCCCCGGCCCCCGGCTCCGGCCCGGGAGAGAAGGGACCGGGGGAGGAGCGGCCGCCGCCGCCCGCGGCGTCGCCCCCGCCGTGCTCCCCGCGGGAGGGGGAGGCAGCGAGGGTGCTCCGCGGGAGGCGCTCCCCGCCCGGCCCGGCACGGCTCGGCACGGCTAGGTGAGCGCACGGTGCTGCATCGACACCCCCCGGGCTGCCCGGCCGAAAATGGGTGACAGCCGAAACACCCCCTACCACCGCCACCACCCTTAACTGGGACGCTTCTTGCAGCTGGCTCGGCGCGCGATTCAGTTCCCGTCCGGAGGAACTGAAGGGCAGTTCAATTGCAACAGCAGTGCCCATTCTGGGGGGCAAAAAGCAGCATTCCGAGGTGCCGGAGCCTCGGACCATACATCCGGACGTACCACACCTCTGCCTAGGCTCCTCGGGGTGTTTTTGGCTTCAGATAGCTTCTGTAAGGTGGCTGCAAGAACGAATGCCACCGAACTAGGAAAAGTCATTCAGTCTGTGCCCGCCAATATTTACTGCTCAGCAAACACACAGGAGACCCTGTTTTAGTCGGGAAGTAAAGGTTGTCCATCTCATCAGACAGAAATAAAAACATGCATGAAGCAGAACAGCTCTGGGATGCTGCCCAGTATACCGCCTGCCTCTCTCCAGAGTTCAGGCCCATGCAGCTTTTGAGAACATGCTCTTTCCAGCGTCATTCGGAGATCTGTCTGTGGTGCAAATGGAAGAGATTGTTAGAAAACCCTCACCTGCAGTGGTTTTCCATATTACTACAAAAAGGTGTCATGTTCAGGCAAGAAGAATTGGTTTAGGTATTTTGTACCTCTCACTAGCTATGAACAGGACCATAGAATCAAAAGAATGGCTTGGGTTGGAAGAGACCTTAAAGATCACCAGTCCCAACCCAACTTACATAAGCAGGGATGCTACCCACTAGACCACTTTGGCCAAGGCCCCAACCAGCCTGGCCTTGAACACCTCCAGGGATGGGGCATCCACCGCTTCTCTGAGCAGCCTGTGCCAGAGCCTCACTGCCTCTTCTTTAGAGGGCATGCAGCCAAGTCCAGCTTTGAGGATCGCCCTGCATGACTGCAACTGAATTTGATGCTGTAAATGCTTATGAGATTTTATGAGGTTGAAACCTCAGATGTTTCAACCTAGCTAAGCGAGATTGGGAAAAGCAGAAACCTTGCCCAGAGCAGTGTGTCTGCACATGGTACAAAATCTCATGTGGTGATGAACAGTTTGTCTCTGGGAAGGGTGTGGGACTGGGATATGAATAAACAGGGACTGACAGCAACTCTTACTGTCTTGGTTTACATGTAATTATCTTTTCACTTTTTTACCACTAAAAAACCTGCAGCGTTAGGCTCATTTGTTAGTGAATAAATATTAGAAAATATTTCTCCTTCGCTGTCTCTCAGAACTTTTAAACAATTTTAAGAAGGCCATTTTCAATAATAGTTTTTCCTTTTGACTTCCCTCAAGTCTCATGGTGGATTATTTTCATCTCACCATAGCTAAAGCTCTACTAACAGTGACTTTTAAAAGCATCCGTGCTGGTTATTTTTGCTTAACAGTTTCTGTATGAGCAACAGTATCATATGATTTTGGAAGCTTGCAAAGAAATTCTGTCTGAGTCTTCAGACAAGCCACCACTAAGCTGAGAAGAAAACAATGCACAAGTTGTTGATTGAGTTTAAAGTTATTAATTTGTTTGAATACTATTCCTCAAAGGCATTGTTTTAGCAGGGAAAAAAAAAATTACTAGTGAAAATATCTCTGTAGAAGCTAGCACACATCCAGTTTATAATTAGAGAAAGCAGTCTATTTTCTGACAGAAATTAAGGATACTGTGTAATAGTATACTGTATATACCTGTATGCAAAAAGGTTTAAATAGATAAGGGATCATTTCTGCTACATTTCTGTAGTAGAAATCACCAGCATTGTGACAAAACTGATAACAGATTTTCTACAGATAAATTTTGTCTAACCTAACTGAACATTCATGATTAGACATATTTTTCCTACACAGTGACTTACTGTTTATGTTTTCAGTATAAAGCTTTGGCAACTCCTACTGCTAAATATTTTTACTTTAACAACAGAATATTTCTGTTCTATCACACTAGTTGAAGTCATGAGAAGACTTTACCCATAATCACTTGGTTATCACATTTCCTTAATCCTGTGACCATGTCTGGAGACTTTCCAAACTTTTGAAGATATAAGTCTTCAAAAGATATAAGGATATAAATCTTCAAGATATAAATCTTCAAAAGTTCGGATAAAAATCCACCTCACCAATAGCTCCACTTCAGTATTGGCGTTCTTCTATGAGCTATACAGGTCTATATAATGGCTGATATTTTGTGTTCATCCAAGTAACTGCTGTTTGAGGGAAAACAAACAAACAAACAAAATTCACAGTCCTAAGACTGCAGTAAAGTAATTTTACCCCAAATAAAGCCCTGAGACTAATTTTAGGTGTTTTTTTTTGTTTTGTTTTGTTTTAAATGCTATCACATGCTAAGCTGTGTTTCAGTTAGCAAATAGGCAGTGTCACAGAGCAAAGTTACATGATTTCTTATTCCTTGATTTCTTTTGTTTCTATGCCTGCAAGTAAATGTTATTTATCTGTGTACTGTCAGTTTCTTCTTTTTGAAGTCTTTCTAGTTGTATTCTCATCATATCTGAAGTAGATAATCAGGAAAAAAAGGAAAAAAAAAAAGACTAATATCTTACAATTATTTTCTTTCTTTCTCTGCAGGCCCTTGGTAAAATGAAGAGGATGCACAAGAAGTTTCCGCAAAACTCTTGGCATATGAAGTTATTTTGGAAATAGAAGTTATTCTGGAAGTTATTTTGGGCCTTCAAAGTGCAGTTCACTGACCCTCCACTAACACTTTTTAATCCAGAAAATAGCACCCAAACAAAAACAAAACACACATTAAATGACTATTTAGTGAAGCAATGTGTCACTCAGCCGCACCATTGCCAGCTGTGATCTCATTAAAGCTCACAAGTAGAGTAAGGCTTGGCCTGATCAGTAATTGGAAAGGACATCTCACAGGAAAATATTTCAAGATGTTGCGAAGTTTGATTTTGGTGATTCAGTAGATGGCACTTTTCATTTTGAAAAAAAATAAAAATAAAAAAAATAATCCTATAACTCAGTATTACAAATACAGTGAACTCAGCACCCACACAAAAGCAGTTATCTGATCATGTTGTTTTATTTATGCTGTTTATTTTAATGTGTGGAGTCACAAAAAGAGTTGGAAACTATGCAGAAAATCACAAGTAATTGTAAAAAGCACATGAATCACATAAATCATTTTTCAAGATAATCAGCCAGACAAGATAATCAGCCAGACCAATCATATGAGAAGTCCAGAAATGTAATTACTTTAAATGTAGTCACTTTCCTCAAAAAAAAAAAAAAAAAAAAAAAAAAAAAAAAAAAAAAAACACAGAGAGAGAGAGAAAAGGGGAAAAAAAAAAAAAGAAAAAAAAAAAAAACAGACACCCCCAAGTGTTTAACCATCTAGAAGAATCAGATAAACTACCTGAAGCAGATAAACTTTCATACTTATTTGTATAGAAGAATACAAACCAAATGAGCACTTTGCAAATTATATATGGAGAACTACATATATATACATATGTATGTGTATATGTATATGTAGAACTATCTATGTATCAAACTTTCCCCAACTCATCAGTGTTTCAGATTAATTAAAAATTAATTTTCTGTTGCCTGTTGAAGATATTTTGTTTGAGTTTTGTATCATTTACCAAATCTAAAAGTTGGAAGTCTTCTGTACCAAACAAAACTTTTTATATCTGTATGTTCTAACTTATTTTAAACATTTTCACACTTTCCAAATAAAATTAAAGAATTTACAAGACAAAAAGCTACCTAGGCAAACTAACTAGTTTTGAAGATGATAAATGAAACCTTGATTTACTTTATATCCCTATTTTCTCCCTAAAGGAAATATTCCATACAAAACAGGGAAGCACTGGAGCATTAAGCCTGTATTTTTAATCCTAAAAAAAAAAAAAAATCATGACAGAAAATTTCATTCAGTTGTCACAGATATGCATATTAGACATGTGCTGATTATAATATTCATTTAAAGCTCCAATATTAGTCATGTGTTAAACTATAGTACAATGGCTTATACTATACTATAGTAATACAATAGGTTAAACTGTAGTACAATGTCACAATGTCACTTGCATTCCAAATGCAAGTTAACTGCAGTTTTTGATCTCTTACATTTTTGTCCAAAAAGAGTAGTGGGCTAATCTCTCTCCAAAAGGCTGCCATATTTAAATGGATGTCATTGTCTTTTAGTAGTAGTAGTAGTAGTAGTAGTAGTAGTAGTAATAGTAGTAGTAGTATACTATTCTTTGATGATTATTCTGAAGTGACAGCGACTATTTTACATTACAGACTACAAAGTTATTTTTCATTTCTGTAGAGACTAAAATGTTGTGAGGGAGCAATTAGAATGTACCCAGCTCCAGGTAGGGCATGGTGAGGAATGAGTAGAGAACTTGTCGTGAGAATTAAGGGGTAGGCTGGTGTGGGGGACACTGTTGTGGGGGTGTACTACAGGTCACCAGATCAGGAGGAGGTTGACAAGGCCTTCTACAAGAAGCTGGAAGTAGTCTCGCGATCCCGGACTCTGGTTCTCATGGGGGACTTCAATTATCCAGAAATCTGTTGGGTAAGCAACTTGGCCAGGCACACGCTGTTCAAACAATTCCTACAATGTGTTGAAGCTAATTTTCTGTCACGTCAGGGGGTGCTTCTGAACCTTGTTCTTACCAACAGGGATGGGCCTGATAGGGATGTGAGGGTTAGGGGCAGCTTGGGATACAGGAACCATGAAATGGTGGAGTTCCAGATGGAACTTGGTGGAAGAAGTAAGGCAAAAAGTAGGATTGCTACCCTGGATTGCTACCCAGAAAACCAACTTTGTCCTCTTCCAGGACCTACTTGGGGGTATCTCATGGGCTAGATTACTTGAAGGCAAGGGTGCTTGTGAGCGCTGGGCAACATTTAAACTGTACTTCTTCCAAGCTCAGGATTGGTGCATCCCTAAGAGGAGGAAATTGGGGAAGGGGGGCAGGAAACCTGCATGGATGAGCAAGGAGCTCATCAACAAGATTAAAAGGAAGATGAAGGTTTATGAAATGTGGAAAAAGGGCCTGTCCTCTTGGGAGGAGTACAAGAATGTTGTCAGGACCTGCAGGGACACGACAAGGAAGGCTAAAGTCCACCTGGAGGTGAAGCTTGCGAAAGAGATAAAGGATAATAAGAAGTGGTTTTTTTAAGTATGCAAACAATAAAAGAAAGACTAGAGATAATGCGGGTCCCTTGCTGAAGAAGGTGGGTGTCCTGGTAACAGGAAATATCGAGAAGGCAGAGACACTGAATGCCTTCTTTGCTTCAGTTTTTGTTTCAAGGACTCCCCCCCCAGGACTTCTGGACCCTGGAGGGAGGAGAAAGAGTCTGGGAAGTGGAGATCTCCCCCCTGGTTAACAAGAGTGTGGTTCGGGAGCATCTGAGTGGTCTCAACACTCACAAGTCCATGGGTCCCAATGGGATGCATCCACATGTGCTGAGGGAGTTAGTGGAGGTGATAATCGAACCACTCTCCATCGTCTTTGAAAGATCCTGGAGAACAGAGGAGAGATCCTGGAGAGAGTTGCCTGAAGACTGAAGGCCAGTGTCACTCTGGTCTTCAAGAAGGGCAAGAAAGAGGATCTGTGAAGCTACAGGCTAGTCAGTCTCACCTCTGTCTCTGCAAAGGAGTTGGAACAGCTTGTTCTTGATGCCATCTCCAAGCAATTGGAAGAGAAGAAGGCTATGAGGAGTAGTCAGCATGGATTCACAAAGGGGGAATTGTGCTCGACCAACCTCGTTGCCTTCTGTGATGTCATCACCAGCTGGGTAGACAGGGGGAGAGCAGTGGATGTCATCTACCTTGACTTTAGCAAGGCTTTCAATACTGTCTCCCACAACATCCTGCTAGCAAAGCTGAGAAAGTGTGGGATAAAGGAGTGGACACTAAGGTGGGTTGAGAACTGGCTGACTGGCTGAGCTCAGAGGGTGGTGATCGGTGGCACAGAGTCCAGCTGGAGATCTGTGACTAGCGGTGTTCCCCAGGGGTCAGTGCTGGGTCCGGTCTTCTTCAACATCTTCATCAACAACCTTGATGAGGAAATAGTGTCCATCCTCAGCAAGTACGTTGATGACACAAAGCTGGGAGGAGTGGCTGACATGCCAGAAGACTGTGTTGCCATTGAGAGAGACCTGGACAGGCTGGAGAGATGGGCAGGAAGTAACAAAAGGAGGTTTAAAAAGAGCAAGTGTAGAGTCCTGCACCTGGGAAGGAACAACCCAAAGTATCAGTACAGGCTGGGGGATGACCTCCTGGAGAGGAGTTTTGCAGAGAAGGACCTGGGGGTCCTGGTGGATGACAGGTTGGCCATGAGCCAGCAATGTGCCCTGGTGGCCAAGAAGGCTAATGGGATACTGGCGTACATAAAAAGGAGTGTGGCCAGCAGGTCAAGGGAGGTGATCCTCCCCCTCTACTCTGCCCTGGTCAGGCCTCACCTGGAGTAGTATGTCCAGTTCTGGGCTCCCCGGTACAAGAAAGACAGGGATCTCCTAGAAAGAGTCCAGCGGAGGGCCACAAAGATGATACAGGGCCTGGAGCATCTTCCCTATGAGGAAAGACTGAGACCTGGGTCTGTTCAGCCTTGAGGAGAGAAGACTAAGAGGGAATCTTATCAATGTTTACAAATATCTTAAGTCTGGGAGACAGCAATATTTGGACAACCTCTTTTCAGTGGTTTGTGGGGACAGGACAAGGGGTAATGGCCACAAGACAGAGCACAGGAAGTTCCACACCAACCTGCAAAAGAACTTCTTTGTGGTGAGGGTGACAAAGAACTGGAACAGGCTGCCCAAGGATGTTGTTGAGTCTCCTCTGGAGATATTCAAGGCCCATCTGGATGCCTACCTGGGCAGCCTGCTCTAAGGAACCTGCTTTGGCAGGGGGGTTGGACCCGATGATCTGTTGAGGTCCGTTCCAACCCCCACAATTCTGTGATTCTGTGATTGCCTTCAGTTAAAGGGAAAAAATTAAATGTACTTTCTGATGTGTAGTATAACTAAATACTGTTATGTTATTTAACTTCTTTAAAAACAAACAAACAAAAAAATCCCCTAGAAAGAAAATCTGGATCGCAAAATGAAGTAGACAATTCTGAATTAAGTTGGCTCATTTCCAATCAATAATTAGCAAGCATAACAGAAATCAGGTTAATGGTAATTTCACTGTTTGCACCACGTTCTTGCCTTACTCCTTTCACCCAAGATTTATTGGATCTTCAACAGAGAAGAAATAGTACCCAGTTGGAAGATAAGCTTACTGAAACTAAGTCCTCTTTGGAGGACTAGAGTTCTGTCAAGCTTATAAAACAATCATAGCAAGCCAACCATCTGGGATATTCCCCAGGCACTAAATTGCTGTGGGCTTCTTACAGCCAAATTTCAACTACTACTGATATTTCTCTAAAAAAAGTCAAACACTCTGAGAAGTACACAAAAGAAAGGTTTTAAATGACTTGTTACTTGCGAATCAGTCTTTCAGTACCTATATTAAGGAATAGGGTATCTTATCAAAAAAGCACATATCAATTATGAGTTCTTTAGTATAATGAAGACCTTTTTTCAATGTAAAATTCAACAGAGTACTGTATGTGGAATAAGACATGACTATAAAACCAAAGTCATTCAGAATATGGTACCTAAAGCTGATCTGATAATATGAACTTTTCCAAGTGTTATGAACACTGTCTGTTGATACTATAGAAATTGTGTCTTCTAACCTTGCATAAATAATTCTCTGTACAATGCTTTGATTCAACAATGAGCCAAAGGATAGACAAAGAAAAAAATATATATATATATTAATCTGGAAGATTAAGACAACTGAACTATATGCATATGCTTCCTTGAAAGATGCAGGAGTGTATTTTTGCTCTCCAATAAATGTTCATTTCAATGTCCATTCTTCTAGTGGAGAGTATTAACAAAAATCTCTGACTTAAGTCAATACAGAGTTATATGTTAAAAAAATAAATTAGGAAATGAAGACGGTAATGAAAAACATGCTTATACCATGCTTATTGCATCTCTTTGGCAAGGATGTATCCTAATGTTTCTAAAGTATAGGAATAATTCAAGATGATTTTTTTTTTTTTGTCTTTGTTGAAGCAGCAATACAGCAATCCTAGAACAGTATTTTTTGTCAGTCACTTCTTGTACTTCTTCAAAGTCATTTACTGGAAGTACTGAAGGTTCCATTTATTTATATACTTCTTACTGTTCAACTGTCAGCTAATGAATTTGTAATTTATTTATTTATTTATTTATTTTCCCCCTAAGGAGATACTGGTTGGTGTCAAATGCAAAGTATTTCCTGTGGAAGATTATCCCTTTACCACTGGCATGGCATTCACTTCAGTAGTATAGTGCATTATTGCAAACATCTGGAGCATGCAGAAAAATACAGTCTGGATTCTGTCCTCAAGCACCTTAATCAGAATAGTCCAAGCAACAGAAATGGCAAATTAAATGACTAACTCAAACACAGAAAAGTGAATTGCAAGAATAAATAAATAATAATAATAATAAATAATAATAATGATAATAATAAAGTAAACCATTAAATTCTTTAATT